AGAGCAAACACAGGGTGCGGCGCTGCACCTTATGTGACCTCAGGGCACGGCTGCTGAATGCTTCATGAAGCAGTGAACACCTGCAGAATAAAGATGCTAATAGCTTCCAGCCGATGTTTCGCTCCAGTTTATACAGAAGATTCTCAATAATATGGAAAAATGGCTGCATCACTGCTTCTCATTATCATCGTAATATTTGTAAAATACATTTATATGTATTTTACAAAGTAAAGGACAACTTCACCTCCAACACACATCTGCAGTTTTTCTCTGATTTGCGTTTTTTCCTGATACCTTCTTTATATTAGTTTATAGACTTCTAGAAAAAGGCCCAGCTGTTCCGCTTTGAAATGAAACTGTCATAGTTGTTGCAAAATGGTGGATTTTTTTAAGGCTTCTGCTTAAAACAGCTAAACAGTCAGTCCCTCCATTGTTGGTTAGAAAAGCACATTACTGGATGGTTGTTTGATGCAGAGCAGATTAAAGTCCCACTGACGGCGCTTCAGGGGTCATCCCCGTCCTGACCTGGGACCCTGTGCCTCCATGATTCTGCTGCCAGTTGTTACTTTGGGAAACACCATTTCCTCAGCCTTTCAGCATTCCTTCACTGCCAACATGGATCTCTAACAAGTTCGGGCAGATCTGCTGGAAGCCTGCAGGATGAGGAGTTGGACAAAAGCTGGGAAAGGCAAAAAAGTCTGAAAAGAGAGAGCGAGCATTCATGGCAGCAGTGGAGAGCTCCGTCTTTCACGCTCAGAGCTTCTTTCTCTGCTGCACAGGGCATTAGAAAGCCTGCTTTGTTAGGGCAAATCTTCTGGATGTGGGAATGAGGGTAACAGCTTGGCTCAAGGCCAACCCCCCCACCCCCCACCCCCAAAAAACTGAAATGTGTACGGGCCTCCATGCAATCTCTGCCTGCTGATAGGAGCCATTTTAAAATGATGCAGAAATGTGCTGTGGGGGGACCAAGCACAGAGAATCCTGCCTGGATCATCATTTACTATTAATCAGATTAATCAATTATTGAAAATAATAATCAACTAATTTATTAGTTGATTAATTGTTAACTGGAGTTTAGAGACTCTAAAACCTGCCTTTAGTTGAATAGTTTTAGTTTCAACTGGTTTGATTTCATAAAAAAATCTTCTTTAAGCAACCTTTGGCTGTTTAATTATTAATCCATTAATAAAATAAATAATAGACAGTTTAGCAAAAATAATCGTTAGTTGCAGACCTAACTTGCTTTGATCAAACCTAAAGTAGTTGCTAGAGATGCAGGATATTGGGATTTTGGCCGATATCCGATATCCGATATTTTAAAACTCATGTAGCTGATAACCGATATCGATACCGATGTTAAAGCTGGACAAAAATAAGTAGTCATTGAAAATAGCAGTTTTGTTATCCATTTCTGACACTTTGAAAAA